AAAAACTATCCCTGCTCCTTTTGCCGGAACAATTGAAAGTGGCCCCATTTTCAATAATCAAAGACCCCGGTTAACAAAGTGCTAAATTCACCTTTGACCCATGCCCCTACCCTGTTTGAGAATCTGCCCCCTAAAAGCCTGCTGTCATATGACAAAACATCGTCTGGTCCAGGATGACCACATGACAGCTTTTCCGCTCTCTGGGCAAGGCCTTGATCATGACTGGTTGGCCCACTGTTTCTGCACCCTGTGGGGGGGGGGCGGGGGGCTGCGCAGTCAGCGAGAATCTGACTTACAAGATAACAGTACCTGGGCAGTGGCTCTGCCTGGCCGGAGCCAGTTTTACGGTCACGCTGGCTGACGAAGGTGACGGCGGGTCAGGGGCCCCGTGGTGAGCGAAGCTCTTGGAAGCCTCTCTGCCTGCCTGTTAGGTCAATGTCACCTCTTCCCGTGTTGCCAGGGTTACCTCCAACACCCCGTCTACATTGCGGATGCAGCATTGCTCACCGGGATGGGGGGGAGGGGGGGGGCTGCTGATCAATCACTTCACTAAGTTCTTTTCTGGCTTCCCCACAAGCACACATTCTTGAGTTTTCATTTTATTAATCATAAAAACAGGTATGTATATTTACAATGTCTGTTTATCGGGAATGGTGAGGACATTTTTTCAAGGTGTCCTCTCTCACATTCACACACAAATATATAATAACAAAATTTTGCTTTAAATTCCTACCTACCCTGGGAAGACCCCCCCCCCCCCCATTGGCCCGACCTTTAGTTCCTCCAAAAAGTCTTGTGCCAGTAACAGTAAGTACTCCTTAGCTGTACAGGAATCTTACTTTGTTATTGATTTATTAAGATTCATGTGGAAAAATTATCTTGGTCCAAACCACCATCAGTAATGCTACAATGCAATCACACCAATTGGGTCCACTTCATGCTGTAGACAAGGGACAACACAGCTGATATATTTGCTGGTAATGAGGACATTCTAACTGTTAGTGGCCTTAATGTACTATGTAGGCAGGTATTAGGTACAACTTACCCCCCCCCCCCCACACACACACACACAAAATCCTATCATATATGTGTAGACAGACTCGTGCTAGGTGCCCCTGTGGGTTGACCCCACCAGCCTTAACAATGTGCAGTCACTTAACGTGATGCTGTCAGCCTGAGCACTGTGCTTTCGGTCAGGTGGGTCCTGGTTGGAACACTGCTGACCTGAGTAAGGTCGAACCCCAGAGCCTGATCCCACAGCGCTCAGGTCGCCGTGTTCAAACCAGGACCGCTTGTCTTCCGCAGGCTCACGGTCCGTCATGTTGGTGTGTTAACTCAGCCGGGACTGCTGTACCAGCATTGAAACCCACCCCCCCCCCCCTCACCGTCACCGCATTCACCTGAGCCCATTTCAGGTTCTTGAGGTTACCATGACAACCAAACAGAAGAAGAAGCTGTCACTACTGTGAATAAATAGCCCATGGTTTGCCGAAGGGATGCTTTTGTTGGCTTGGGGGACCTGCAATGGCCCAGCACAGGAGCAGTATAGCAGTATAGAAACGCACCGTCTCCCTCACTCAGATCTATAGACTGCAGAATGAACTCAGCCAGTGCACATCAACTCTTTGGAGAACCATAAAAAATATCATGTAGGCGGCTGTCCTAATGTCCATAAGCACGTGCTCCACTGTCCTTAGCTCGAATGATCACTTTGTTACCTCAGATGTGTATGACAAATACTGTAAGTGTAGGGACAGTGATAACACTTTCTAAGAATGCCATGTTTATAAGAATCTACAGACACGTTCATAACACATTAAAATGCATTCATTATTAATTATACTTATAAAGCATTATAAATACGGCTATAAATAGTTATAAAAATGCACAACACATTATAGCCATGTTTATTATGCATTATGAATGCTCTGTGAAGCTCTCATCTATAATGCACTACAGTTAGCTTCATAAAGCAGTGTAAAGCATCCCTAATTCTTATACCAACCATTAAAACGCATTATGAAGGTATTTATAGTGCATTATAGATGAAAGCTTCATTGGAGCTTATAAAGTATTATGATTAACACTTTAATGCCTTATGACTGTCAATAGAAGATGCTGTAATGCTTATTAGTTCTTACACCGACCATTATAATGCATTATGAAGGTATCTGCAGTGTGTTATAGATGAAAGCTTTTCATAAAGTATTACTGGGACAGTCCCTCTGTTCAATGAAATACCTTGTTAGAATATTATAAATATAATTTTCTATGCCTACTTGTCCTTTGCAGGGTCACAGGGGTTCCAGAGCCTAACCCAGAAGCTACGGGTGCGAGGCAAGGAATAACCCAGGATGGGGCGCCAACCCATCGCAGGGCACACACACCTTTTGCACCCCTGGATAATTTGGCAACTCCAATTCACCTTAGCATGCTCTTGAACAGCGGGGGGAAATCAGAGTACCCATACTTACACAGGGAGAACATGCAAACTCCGCCCATGTAGAGCTGGGGTGGACACTCGATCCCTGCTTTGTAGAGGCAGAGGTGACCAAGCTCAACACGGTGCCACTGTTCCACCCTAATAATTCATTAAACATAAAATTTATTTCCCTTTTCTATCACTGATTTTTGTATTGCAACACCAACAAATTACCGGTACAACAGGTTGCTGATTCGATTACATTTTGAATGTATAACCCGCCCACCCCTCAAATTTATTTCCCATTTTAATTATTAGAGTGAAGTGGTGGCTCAGTGGTCTATCTAATTGGGCGTGTAGCCCTTCCATGTGTCCTGTCCTGCCTGGGATTGGCTCCCAGATGGATGGATTTTCATTATGTATTCACTTTATCAGATAAAAAATCCACAAATACTGCACTTTGAGGTCATTTCTGTGTCAATATTATATTATATTATATTATATTATATTATATTATATTATATTATATTATATTATGTGTTCTTCTGCTAGAATGGGGAAAGTACTAGTCCTGGCATAAGAGCTTTGGAAAATACCAGTCACTGTCCAATCTGCCTTGAACATAAACCACTACTGATCACTAGTAAAAGAAAAAAGGCTGTCATCTTAACCTCCATGTCAAAAGTCGAATAATGAAAGCTTTGGAAGAGACCTTTTCCCTAACTGTGCATCTGATGGCTCATGATAAACTCAGTCTCAGGTCTTTTAGCTCCCCTCCGCCTTTTCTCTGCTGTTTGCCGTCAATCGCGTAGACAAATTGAGTCCTAATGCCACCAGACAGTGTTAAGAGGGCAGTCGGTGTAAGTAATGACAGATCAGGGCGCCCTGCTTGAGACAACATCCTTGCCGGACGCAAGACAGCTTTGATTTTGTTTAAAACCCTATCCCCTCCCACTCAGTTGTCCTATACTGGGGAGAGGTTAGCAATCAGAGGCAATCAATGTAAAATAAGAAATAAGGAATTGTTATTGTGCTCTCACACTGGTGCAAATTCATTTCACCCTTGAGAGACAAAAAATACTCCAGCAGTAAACAAATCTCAGCCAAATAATACAGACTTGAATGTTGTTGAATGGAATCCAAGTCCATTCAAAAGCTGTTATGTCTGTTGGTTTGTAGGTTCCCTTTAACACAGCAATTCTCTCATGTCTCTTACATTGTGTGAACTTTAGTTCTACCCAAACAATGAGTCTGTTAAATCGATTAAGCACAGATAGAGAAAACCGGCATGCTCTTTGGTCTTCAATACACTTGCCTTCCCCAGCTATATTACTGGGTCAATATTAATGTTCCTCCCAAGTTTTATACCCTTGTTCATAAGCTATGTGAAACAGCACTACATGTCATTTAGGACAAAATGCATTGTGTGTATTTTTACAGTTGGTTAAATAAGTTTCAAATTATGTTATTTAGGAACTTAACTTCATGAAACGCATAGCCTCCAGTTAAGAGTTGTGGCAGATGGGGTAATGGGCAGAATATGTCAAGCCACCTCCAATTAAACATAGAGTTAGAAATGGCTTTGGTTATAGATGTGGAAGTATCACTATTGCAGATTGAGCCATATTGGAGACAAAAGTTTTCATACAACATGATATGGCCACTGATATCAGCTAAATGTAGAATACTCTTTTCCATCCAGACCTTTTTATACAGTGATTTCTTCTTCACAGTAATGTACGTATCTATTATTTCATGAGTGTTTTGCGAGGAGTAAAATTATAATTATACAAAAGTTTCCAGTACAACAAGACCTGCTGGTGAAAAGCTGATAAAATAACCGGTAGATTCGGAATATAAAACTCACATCTAAGGAGAAATTCTACCCAATTTCAAAATAAAATCCCTAGGGATATGATACCAAAAGTCATTGCTGTTTAGAAAGGATTTTAACCAATTGATTTTTAGGGTTCCATTTATACTGCTAAAGTCAGTGGCTTGTCCTTCACATCTTTTATACTCAAATATCAAAGTTAATGGAATTCAAGACCCTAGATAAAAGCAGTATAAAAATGTCCAAAATGTACGCAGATTCCTGACTCTACAAAAGAAACTGACCACAATAAGCAAAACCCGCGATTCGATATTAATAGAATTAAATTTTCTTACAAATATGATATATGCACACCGATAAGAACAATGACCGAAAAATAAGTGAAAACAGAAGGCGCAAGGTAAGTGTATACTATAACACTTAAGCTGTGTCAGAAAGATTATGTAATTGTAAAACGTTAATTGATTAAAGAGATTATCTGAATAATTTTATTTTAAGTACAGATATTGCTACAAATATCAGAGAGCATAGTACCCTCTACTTCTATTGACAGATATGAAAGGTTGAGGGTGCTTTAAAAAATCAAATATCTTCAATTGGCTCGATCCATCCATCACTCAAACGGCGAACACGCACGTAAAGTTGCGTCTCCGCCTAAGTCTTCCGTGTTTCCTATATCCGTGCATGTGATTGGTTACAGCTTCGTGATGTCTACGATGTAGGCGCATTCTCAATTCTGATTGGCTCTTATTCAAGAAACAGTGATGGCGGGAATATAATTTTCGATAGTCGGGTTCATGTATTTTGTCTCATTTACTATTTTTTTTTACTGCACACACAAAGGTAATAGAAACGTTTTTTTTATTTTACTTACTGGTACAATGATTGTCATCTAACAGAAGATATTACCAGCGAGACACTTGGCTATAATGGCCTAATAAAATGTAAACATGGCTCGCAGCTTTTATGGCATTATGTTTATAAGGATTTCTTTCACAATATCGTGTAAGGACTGTACTGTTTGGTTGTCTTTTTAGGGAAATTCAGTGCACATATATATGAATCTTATTTTCTCTTTTAGTTATCCGTGAGTCCGCGAAACAAAATGGTTCGCCTGGTATTTAGGTGATTAATATGTCTCTGTGTATTTTGTATTACACATAGAGACGTTTTGTGTTATGTCAGCATGATATACAAAGGAAATATAGCTGTATTGTCACTGCTTTATGATCTCATTCAGAAAAAAAAGGCAATTGCGGGAGCTACAAAATTATTCCGTTGGATAAACGTGTATCGTTGAAAAACACAGATGAGAGTTATTAAGCCGCAGCAGAGATGGCCTTTGTAGGACGGATGGACGTTTTCTGCCTTGCAATCTTAACCATGTATTAAATTCATTTCTAAATTCTCAATGAGACCCATAGACCCAGAACTACTCTATGCGTTCTTATTTGTATTATCGGTACCATACTGATTCATGATAGTTTATTGATTACTTCTATTGATTGTTTGGAAGTAAGAGCAGGAGGATAATACACATAGAATAAAAATCAGATAATTGGAATAAGCAACTAGAATGCATATATGGTATACTTATATGTAGTTTATTAATATTATTTCATGTATGAAAGCCTGCAGCTTTCCTTCCGTATCTTCCAGGTCACACGTGCTGTCGTCATGGATCCAGCTGCTGTGGAGTACACCGTAGGAGGTGTGAGGATCCAGTTCCCCTGCAAGGCCTATCCCTCCCAGCTGGCCATGATGAACTCAGTGAGTGCTCAGGCTGCTGGTGTTTCATGGCTGTCCAACACCTGCACCCTTCCAGTGTTGGGGGAAGTTACTCATAAAAGTAATTGATTAAAAACAGAGGTGGAAAGTTCAGGTCCAGAAAGAACACATCCAGACCAAGGTTTTGTTCAACCAACCAGCTGAGTACTCTGTGACTGTGACTCTTTATACTCAGCTGGTTGGTTGAACAAAACCTTGGCCTGGATTTGTACTTTCTGGACCTGACCTTTCCACCTCTGTCTTTAATGGATTAATTTTGTGAGTAACTTCCTCAATACTGCCCCCTTCCCAGTGAGAACTGGCCCTGTTTAGTCGTGGTTTAATGGAAAAGTAGAGCATTTTACCATTAGCTTCCGCCAGAATGGTATGCAGCATGTTGACTGTGTTAGAGACGGCTCAGTTTGGACAGGAATGCCCTTTGACAAGATGGTTTCTAACAAGGGCAGTGTTTGGCTTAGCGGGTTTGGACTCTGTGCCTGTGATCCGAAGATCACCGGTTCAAATCCCAGGGTAGACTGAACTGTTGATTCCTAAATCAAGGCCCTTAACTACTCCAGGGACTGTCTTCTCAAATGTACTTCGCTTTTGACAAAAGCAATCGATAAATAAAAGTGATGTTTTGACTGCTGCTTTTTCCCACAGATTGTTCGGGGCTTGAACCATGAACAGCACTGTCTGCTGGAGAGCCCCACAGGCAGTGGGAAGAGTCTGGCTTTGCTGTGCTCGGTGTTGGCCTGGCAGCAGGCACAGTACGGTATGCTGAATCCCTCCAGTATCCTCTCACATTTAGGGGCAAAGAGCTGCCCGTTATTTACAGAAGACTGGCAGCTCTTGTCCTCCACATTACTTGCTCATAAATCATATTGTGCATTTTGCTCCTTGAGCTGAATCTGAAAGCCAGTGAAAGTCTAACTGGCTTGTGAATATGACATTTCATTATGGCACCAGTCTCAGCTGTTTCTTTGCCAGTTTGTGTCCTGCTGGACCTGCACCATCAGAAGGTTGTTTGGGTCAAATATTCATATGTGTGGAGTCTTCAACGTCAACTTTATTTGTATAGCTATCACTTTTAAAACTACTATAGTTGACCAAAGTGCTTCACAGGTCAATAAAACAAGGAACTATAGAGACAATAGAATACACAAGAATAAGATGAAAATAAAGTAAATATCAAATAAGGTACAATAACGCTGTAATTATCTGTGTCACATTAAGGCATTTTAAGTCTTAATTTAAGTCCAATAAATATTGTATATAAATAGTGTTGTAGGGCAAAATAAATGTGTATATAAAGTGACTACCTAGCACAAGAATGTAGTTTGCCACTGTTACATATCCATCTTGTCAGTTTCTCCCCCCTCACATGTAGTGAAAATATGTTCTGTTGTGATGGGTGGTCCTGTGGAATTAATCCCACCCATAGTGATTTTGATAACCCCCCCCCCAATCTAATCTTCTACCCAACTTGTTAAGGTTTCCATGTGGTCACACATCCTGCCTGTTGCTTGACGTCTCTAGCATTGCTTTGGCAGGAAAAGCAGAGCAGGAGTGGAACCCATCTGACGAGTGCAAGAAACCAAACCTAACCACACCCTGCCAGTGCATCTGCCATGCCCCCGGAAGGGGTGGTCTCCGCGGGCCTTCTGCAAATGGCGGGTCAGCTCCGCCTGTCGTGGACCTCACCAGTGAAGGTGCAGAGGTCACAACCCAGTGTGCCTCCCCTCCTCCCGCTAAAGGTGACTTTCCTTGTCTCCTGGGGCCACTGCTGTATAGAGCAGGCCGAAAACAATGGGTGGGTGATGTGGCCTAAACGCGAACTCCTCATGTTGGCTGTCGGTACTTATATCAAGGTCATGATTGTGTGTTGTATTAAACATTGTAATGGTTTTTTCACCCCCCCTACTGTTGATCTTAAGCTGTGGTACATAAATTCTCTCTGTGGTTCAGGTTGCAAAATTCAAGAACTTTTCGAAGTTGTAAACTTTCCATGGGATTTTATGGGAATATATGGGAATTAATGGGAATAAACTAGGAATTTGCAAAATTACAGGTTAGCCTATAACAAGGAATTTAAATAAAGTTGGAAAAAAAATGTCTTGACGACTCTAATAATGACATCATTGTGTTACCAAGTGCTTGTAAGTAATTATGTATGTTTAAAAACACCCCAAAGGAAGCATCTGCATCAAAACACACTGCTTATAAGTCATATTCTAAGTTGTATTATTCATGCAGTTTGATTTCTTTGTACAAATTGCGTGGCATTCCACGAAGTTCAATGTGTCCAAAATTCCCCAGCTTAACTTCCCATGAAAAGTTTCAGGAAAGTTTCCGGACATTTTCCACCCCACTGCACTTATCCTTGCATAAATATTCTTGATGAAATCTCCGTTGTACCACTGGGTAAATGTGCATTGCTTGGCTAGCTGCGCTGAGGAGATGTGCCGTTGTGTCTCCGTATTGCGGGTGACGCGAGTTGAGTTGTTCACTGTTATGACATGCGGATTGTGTCACCTCTTCCAGAGGACTACACGCCCAGACGCAGCACTCTGGCCTCGCGGCTGTCGGAGAAGCTACAGGCTTCCCTCAGCGTGGACACGGACGATGACTTTCAGACCGACAGGAAGCGAATCCGCCCCCCAGCCACAGATCAGAAGGTGCCTCCCTGACCCTGACTTTCCTTACTGAAACTGGTCTCCCCCAGCGGCGAGGCCAGATCCCGCCTTGTATTCCCAGTGCGCCCCCGAACACCCGTGCAGAGCGAGCCACGTCCCGTACTCACCAGGTAGCACTCTCACCCCCTGCCCTGGCGTTCACTTTCACGCCAGAGTATTCAGAGCTGAGAACACACAATCCTAAAAGTAACACTGTTCTGACTAGAATGTAGGCCATCACTGTAAAATGTCATCCGCGTTATTTTCAGTTCTGTGCCTGAATAAATAATTTTTTTAATTTGTCCTTAATATGCCTGTAGGGGAGGAAACGGAGGTGTTTGGAGCAGGGCGTGATCTTCATTGATGATGATTCGGAGTGTGAGAGTCGGCTTGGTGCGGCCCACTCTGGCTGTAATGAGGTAAGCAGGCGATATGAGTGTCATGGCGCCCTCTCTAGCGGCCCCCTTATCCTGCGTTTACTCCCCCAGGCTGTATGTATACATTTATATTTTTGATATTTTTAGGTGTTTGTAGTACTGATCTTTGTCCCACTGGGGGCGCTAAAGGCCACAGAATGGCTTGCTGATTGCTTAGTTCTACAGCATGTGCTGAGACTCCTTGCTGCCATGTCTAGTTTCTGGAAAGGTCTTTGCGTTTCCATTATTATGGTAAAAATGTAGTTATGCGATTTGTGAGCTTTTTTTTTTTAACCTTTTTATGCTGGCCGGCAGTTGTCTAAACCTGAAGATGGCACCAATAGGCTGTAGATGACGTTATGTATCACGGTGTTGCTTTGATGTATGGATATTGTTTACAGCCTGTGCCAAAAATCAGGTAATAATGAAACCGCTTGGGTGGAGTTATGTTGAAGTGTGGTGACTCTTAGCTGCAGGGTTGGAAATGCAGTCAGAGTTATTTATATATGTGGGTGATTGACTTTTGCGCTACAATCCATTTTTATTTAGTGATGTTTGATCTCGGGGGAGATTGATAGCAGGGTGGGATGTTTCACCGGTTCGCAGTGAGGCGGTACTGTGTTTGGCCCTTGAGGGACCTGATGATGAGCGATGGCTAAAATCGTTGTTTTATGGCAGATGGAACGAAGTAATCTCTGGCTCTGTCCTGCCCTTGCTGGTTCTCACTCTGCCCCTGTGGAGGTTCCAGTGCTGGACTGCAGCATGGTAACGCTTGGATAGCCTTTTGGATCTCGGGCCTTAGGAAAATGCTGATTCTTCAATATGCCCTGATCCCCCCTCCCCCCCACACACACACCACCCTCCATGCCACCCCAGGGTCTCTCAAATGCGATCCCCACCAAAATCAAACGCATTGTAACAAACACCCCAGGTATGAAGGGCCCCACAGTGAAAGGAATCTGTGTTAATGTGCTCACCCATCACACAGGGAAACATATTGCTTACAACGCGTACAATGGGCTGGGGGTGACTTCTGTTACACGTTCCTGGGGACTGGCAGACTGTTACAATGGGGGCCTGGGTCGGCTGGCCGGGCCAGCTCCTTTTCAGCCACGGCCGGGGGGGGGAGAGAGTCGGGGGCTCAGGTTTCGCACCCCCACCCGACACCGCTTTCCATCCTGCGCTTGCTGACGGACGTCTTGAATGGGCCCTTTGAAGCGAGCTCCAGTTTAATTAAGAGGTTTGCCTCGCCTCCCAGTGATCTGTGAAGCCTGGGATAAATATTGAATGGGGTTCACCCGCTGGTTACCGCACGCGGTGGGGGTTGGGGGTGACAAACAGGTGCTTTGTGAGCAGTGGGGACATGGGGGTGCAGGAGAGTGGGGATGGCAGAGGGTACTCGAGGAGACCCCTGTCTGGGCCTTCCTCACAGCCTGGAGAGTGCCTACGGGACCCCTTCCTCCTGCTGAGCCCGATGGCCCCATGGTCGGCGACAGAGATGCGCCTGTCTCGACCCGGCCCGGCCCGGCCGTGTGAGATTTCACTCTCTCAGGTGTCCGCGTTACAGCACAGAGACGCTGACCTCTCCCCTCTTGCCGACATGGCGAGCCAGAGTATCGGGCTACAAGTGCTGCCAGGGACAGCGATCCTGCTCTTTCCGCACCTCAGCTGTGAAAAAGCTTCCCGGCGGGCAGAACCGCACCCGAGGCCTTCAGGCTCAGGCTGCGTCCGGCAGCCGTCCGTACACCCCGTTGCAAGGCTGTGATGGCGGTCTCCACCCTGATCCTCTCAGGGCAGCCTAGCAATAGGCACTTCGCTAAGAGGTGCTAGTGCCGGGTCATCAAAGCTAGAGCTAAAGGCTAATTTCGGCCCAACTCTTTGTTTGGGGTCAACTTGTGATTTGGTTGTTTTGTGTTTATTAGCGATATTATTGGTTGAGTGGTTGAACTCGGGGGCAGATTGTATTTATGTGTATGTGTTTGATGCCATGCAGGGGGGCATCAGTCGTCAGTTATGAGTAGTCCGGGGTTTGTCTCCCCCCGCGATCGCAGCGTGAGGGGAGCCGAAACTGCAGCCCGCCATCTCTGCACGTGTAACGGATACCGTTGTGTCAGCTGTTTCCTGCGCGGCCCCTGACAAGGGCCCACATTCAAGACCCTCCCACCCCCGCAGCACCTCCTCGATGAATAAGTAATTATCCCATACACAAGGCAGGATATTCGGAGCTCCGCCACTTACCGTGGCAGCAGTGGGTAAAGCGATCCGGACCCCCTGCCCCAAGCGCAACCTGAGCCGGCCGGCGTAACAATCCCACCAGGACCGTCACCCAACCCCGGCTTGCCGGCAGGTCCCTGTTTACCCGGCGCATCAGTGGAGCCTTTGTGCCGCTGAGTGACGGCCCGGGAAGAGCTCCCGGCCAGCTCCGCTCTGCCGTGCATTGTAATATTCGACGGCAACAAGGCTGAGAAGGAACCAGCGAGAAACCCGAACTGTCACTACCACCCCCCCCCCCCCCTCGCAGAAAAGGGGAGGATAAGAGGCAGCTTGATCCCTGGTATTGTGGCGTAACACACGCCATGACTTAGCAATTGTTTATACGGGATAATCTTACTGATCGCGGTTTGTTGGCGAAAGTACAGGAAGGGAGAAAGTGTCGACCCGTCAGGAGTTTATTATGCGGCGCCCTGTAGCACCCCCGGCAGCTTGTAAAGCCGCGGTAAGAATCGAGCCTGAGGTTCTGTGGTTTCCCCACGGTGTCCCGGTCCCTTAGAGGGAAGGTGGGGAGGGTTGGACACAGGGAAATGTGGGTGCGTGTTGGGGCTGTGAGCGGCTGGGAAGTGGGGCAACGGAAGGGCTCTCACCTGCGTGGGATCGCTTACAGGAGCCTAGGCTTTATGCCACCTGTTAGTGCTGCCATGAAAAGACCCATTATAAAAAAAAGACACTGGGAGACCCTCAGTGTCACGTTTTAGTGATCGGCTCCCAAACGCCACCCATCCATCCTTCATCAAACCTCTAATCTTGGTCAGGGCCACGGCGGCACACATGCCTGTCACTTTGGTCAATGTCGATTTTCACTTTAAATATTTTCTAGCCACCGCTTTTATCAGGGAGCGGTGTATGGCTCAGCGGGTGTCTGGTTTGAATCCCATTCTCGGCAGAATGGCGACGTGTCTGTTGGGCCCCCGAAATGATCCCGGGGGTGGCAGTGAAATGAATTAGGCTTCACTCTTACCTATAAGCATGTGTGTGTCTCAGATTTAGCAGGTAGGTAACTGCCATTTTGAAAAGGCTCCATCGTTGATATTTTGGCTGTTTTGCAGCTCCAGTTTCCGGCCTGGTGTGCGACCTTCCCAGCAGTCAGTTTATGCGACATCTTTCTCCCTCTCTCAGCGTCCGCCACAGACCCCGGGCCCCTGCCCCCTGTGCCACTGTGGCAGTACTAAGGCTGCTAAGGAGAAGGACAGCGCCTCTGCTGGCGGGGGGAGGAAGGCCGTGCCCAAGATCTACTTCGGCACCCGCACCCACAAGCAGATCATGCAGATCGCGCGTGAGCTCAAGCGCACCTTCTACTCGGGCACGCCTATGTCCATCCTGTCCAGCCGCGACCACACCTGTGTGCACCCAGAGGTCGTGCCTCATTCCAACCGCAACGAGCGCTGTAAGGAGCTGCTGGAGGGCAAGAACGTGAGTCCTAATGCCCCGCCCCGCCCCGCTCACGGCCCCCTCCCTGTCGCTCCTGACGTATAACTCTTTACCAGGGAATGTGACTAATCAGCTGATCATCAATCCCCTTATTAACCAGACCAGCTGTGTTAGTGTTAGAATGAAGGCGGGGCACCACAGAATAATGTTCTTAGTCTAGGATTGAAAAAGACTGGGGTGCAGCTCCAGTGTTCTATCTGTGACAAGTAACACGTTTCTTTTTAATTTGTTGTGTTTTGTTGGTGATGGAGTTTTATGGAGAAACGTGAGAGGCATTCTGGGAAATATGCTATGTGAAAGGCAATCTGGGAAATGGAGTAAGCTTGACCCCTGAACCCATATACAATTTATTCATTAATGATTAGATGGATGTCACCATCATGGCCTTGTTTTGAGTTTTATTCTCTTATAAATCACCCCCCCCCCACCTCCCCTTGCAGTTTGCCAGGGATATCTTGTCATTTTTTCCATGCTGTGCTCTTAAACCTTTCCCCCGCTGGGGTCACTAATGAAGTCCGGCTGGGCCGGGGGTCGTGACCTCTGCTCACAGCCGACGGTCTGGCTCTAGTCGGGTCGCTAAAACTGCTTCCACTTCTAAATGTGGCTCTTTAGTGCTTTAATGATTCCTTTGGAGTCTGATGACCTAAAAAAGACCCCCCCCCTCCGTGAAGAAGAATCCTCCCATTCCTGGCAGGTGACATTGCTCTAACGTGAAGAACGGCCGCTTTGACGTCCCTGTGCGCCGCTGAGGGTGGCTGGGGTCGCAACACAATCCCTCCTTTTAAGTGTTTCTGAACAAAGTGCTGTCACAGTAGCTGCGGGCGGCAATTATCGGTGACAATACCTGCAATCAGTCATAACGTGCCCCTCTCCGAGCCCTCAGACGGGCTTTGTTGTGGTTGGGAGGCTGTTCTGTTTGTCGGGCTGGTGCCGGCGGGTCAGGATTCTGCTGTCATGGGCCCAGTTGCACCATCAGAGGTGTTGGTTCTGACACTGTTGTACGTTACACCCCCTTATCCCCCGATGACCCTGCTGGGGGTGCGGCGGCCCCCCGTCAGCATATCCCGAGGCCCTTTCTTCGGCGGGTCCTCACCCTGCCCTTGTGGCCCGCTTCCCTTTCCCACGATCCTTTTTGAAGCCAAGGCTGGGTGAGAGCCTCAGTCGAGATTAATGGCAGCGCAGTGTCCCCCTTTCAGAGCCCCGAAGTGAGCGTGGAAGGGGTTCCAGGACCTGTCATCGCCTTCGTAAGACAGGGTGCTAGCAGCTTCCCATTACAAGTGCCGCCAATCCCAGTGCCCGGCCGCTATCCGTGTCTCTCCACTCGGCGTCCTGAGGAAGCCGCCATTAACCTCGGGGCTGACCCGAAACGTGCCGGCTGACAAAGTGCTTGCCGAATATGGCCTGGTGCTCCCCCAGGAAAAGGTGTCATCATGCTTCAGACCCACAGGATGGTGGCAGATTTTGCTGTATTTAATCTGTAAAATCTCTAAGACCCTTTAAAAACATCAGGGGTCCTTTCGGAATTATTGTCAGGCGTGTGCTAGATGGCCGCTCAGCGTTTAGTGGGTTAGTCGCTGTTCTGCTTTCCGTGCAGGACCGGTCGTGCCGCTACTACCACGGTGTGAACCGGATGCGGGACCAGAACACGCTGCAGCAGGTACACGGCCTGTACCGGGCCTGGGACATCGAGGAGCTGGTGGCCCTGGGCGGCCGGCTGCGCTCCTGCCCCTACTACGCGGCCCGGGAGCTTGCGCAGGAGGCCCACATCGTCTTCTGCCCCTACAACTACTTGCTGGACCCGCTCATCCGTGAGAGTGTGAGTGGGGAGCTTTTTACAATGAAGGGAGGGCATTTAGGGTCACATCACTGTGTGCTACTCGTTAATTATTCATGAGTGACATCAGCACGACTGGGCTGCTGTAACTGCGTTTCTTGGGTAAATTTAGCATTAAGTTTGGTTTCTGAAGTTGCTGAGCATAGTGCTTAACTCTAATAAATTTTTATTTATGTTGAATTTATTAGGGAATTGAATTTATTTAGTCATTAAATAGCTTTTTCCCAATTGTTATAAACTCTACATCCCCCCAGCCTGAGATGAGATCTCTCAAGTTATGTTGGTAATGTGTAATAAATAAATTTTTTAGTAATATGTGCAATAATGGTCTGTGTTGCTGTTTACTGGTGCAATAATTTGTTCTGGTTGTTTGAACACTTAACATGTCATCATGTCATATTGTCATCAATATTTGAAACCTATTTTGTATGATTATTTTATCTCAAGCTTTCATTTTGGATTTATTACTTGTACTGTTAATTATTCTTATTTTTTGTAAACACACTTTTGGGGTTGTCACAGAATTAATTTTGTTGTGTTACATTGACAAAGTGCTTGAACTTGATCTTGAACTTGTGGCATTAAGGTATATATTTTTTATCATTAATAATTTGTCTGCAGCGTTAGAGTACAATCTCTATTTGCTGTAAAGTGATGGTTCTCTTGGTTTTGTCGCCTTCGTTCATCATCATCATCATCATCTTCTTCTTCCACGCAGATGGAGATCAACCTGAAGGGTCAGGTGGTTGTGCTGGATGAGGCGCATAACATAGAGGACTGCGCCCGGGAGAGCACCAGCTACACCCTGAACCAGGCCGCGCTGCTGCTGGCGCGTGAGGAGATCGACGGCATGGTGAACCACAACATCCGCCGGAGCCAGCACGAGCCACTCAGGGCCTTCTGCTGCAGCCTGCTCAAGTAAGAGCCCCGCCCCTCTGCTTTGCTCCCCAGCCAGTCAGCACACAGCCAGAGTGACCGCTGGTCGCAGTGGTCGGCGGGGCTTGGTTCACAAGGCCCAATGGCACTAACCTTATATTAAATCGCTGATTATGCATCTCTGGGGGATTAGAGAGGCTTCAAGATTGCTAGGTGCTTTTGTACATTAAGTCAGTTAATCAATGTCTTGATCAGATTCAGCTGTGGGAGAAAGTTAGGCAGAATCGCTTATTTGCTTATTTTAGCAGTTCATTAATGTGACTTACTCTAAGCTGCACTAAAACGAATTGTTATTGGAAGAGGAGCTGAGGTTGATTTAAGTCTGCCGGTCCCCCAAACTGCAAGCCTCTGGAGGCTTTTGAGTCATCTGCTGTCGACCTGTTAACATGAACAGTCCACGTCCACAGCAGACCGTCCTAGTGACGGCGGCAGATGGCAAAGACGTGAAACGAATGCTGTGCTACTGACGGCTTATTGACGCGACCATTTTTGTTTTCGATGCAGCTGGATACAGGAGAGCTGTGGCTCTCTGTCGGAGCGGGAGTTCGAGGTTTCCTGCCGGGTGTGGACGGGCACGGAGATGTTGGCCGTGTTCCGGGGTCTCGGCATCACTGCCGACACCTTCTCCTTGCTGCAGGTGAGACGCCGCAGCATGGTCTGCCGTGACCCTGGGGCCTGAGCACGCCGCTGACGGCTGTCCTCTCTCTCTCCGGGCCCCCTGCAGAAAAACCTCGTGGCTGTGCTGGAGAAGGAGGAGCGTGTGGGCCTGGTCAATGGCCGGGAGGATGTGGTGGAGGTGCCTACCATCAGCTCAGCCACGCAGATTGTGCTCAAGGGCCTCTTTATGGTTCTGGAGTTCCTCTTCCGACAGAACTGCAGGTGTGGGAATTCTGGGAAAGACTTTGGTTTCCTCTTAAAAATATATGTATCCTTCAGAAATGCTCTTGCGCCAATTTTGGTTTGGTACTTCGCAGATCTTTGCAGACGTTTTTGAGCTTGAGTGAAAATTTATGCTGCAGATTTTAATGCCACAAAGGCTACCCCCCAGACGGTAACCTGTCTGGGCGCGTGACCCATTTCTGCCCGGTGCTCTGACTGCCTTCCCCGCCCCGCAGGTTTGCGGAGGATTATCGTGTGGCCCTGCAGCAGACCTACACTTGGGCCTCGCAAGCTCACGTTCCCGACGAGCCTGACGAACACGGCTTCTTCGCACGGCCACGCCGGCGCCGCCAGGCCCTGGTCCGTCGCACCAAGACCCCGGTGCTCACACTCAACTTCTGGTGCCTGAACCCAGCCGTTGTGAGTCTTCTGGGGTCACCTGTCCTCCCAAACACATAGTTTCTCATCTAGCCTTTCAAAGTACACAGTTTTATCGAATGTACATAAAACTAAAAGCAGGGCCAGTCCCTCGAGCAGTTGGGGGGGGGGTTTAAAGGCCTTGCCTAGGGGCCCTACTGTGAAATCTCTCTTCCAACCCTGGGATTTGAACAGGCAACATTCTGATAACGGGCATGACATCCTAACGCACTGAGCCATACACCAGTAGCAGTTCAGATTGTTGTACCCATATGTGCATGTGCGTGCCGCTCTCACGGCTGTGCTCCCTGTCCACCCCGGCAGGCCTTCTCTGACCTCAGCGACTCGGTGCGCACCATCGTCCTGACCTCCGGCACGCTCTCGCCCATGGGCTCCTTCTCCTCGGAACTGGGAGTCAGCTTTTCCATCCGGCTGGAGGCCAGCCATGTCATCAGCAAGTCCCAGGTCAGGCCTGGGAAGGAGACGGTGCCGGGAGCGTCGCACTGCGCCGCCGCCCTCGGGTCCAGGCCGTCCCTCCGCCCCTGGGGCCCTTGGCGAAGCCCTTAGATCTTAGTCGCGTCATCGCGGCTTTTTCTTGTTGTTCTCCCGAATCGCGTGTCAGCTCGCCTGCTGTTTACGGTGTGAATCAGCCATTGAATAAGACGCTGGAGTTTGTCAGGCCTGGGGCCATGTGAGACGACAGCGCCCTTTACGCGTGTTTGTGTGCCGATACCATGGAGCTCACGATATCTGCCTGGAAATGATTCCCTCACTGCTGGGAAAAAATCACGCTTCAAGGGTATTTCTGGCTGCTTATTGGCTTTTGATCGGATAAATAATAATTACGCCCCATCCAAAGCTTTATTTCTGCCAATCTGCAGTTGGCTATTGAGGGTCTGGCTCTCTGCAGTCTTGTTTTGGGGGGGGAGGGGGGGGCAGAGTGAGTGTAATTTAAGCTGTCTTGCTTGGCTTGCAGGTCTGGGTGGGGACGCTGGGGTCTGGCCCCCAGGGGCGCAAGCTGTGTGCCACGTTCCAGCACGCCGAGACCTTCGCCTTCCAGGACGAGGTGGGCACCCTCCTGCTGAAGGTGTGTCACACGGTCAGCCGGGGTGTGCTCTGCTTCCTGCCGTCCTACAAGGTACCCAGATGAGTGAGTGCCGTCTGTGTGACTGTGATCTGTGATACGGGGGGGGGGCGTGAGAAAAAGTGAGCTGCCTCCCTCCCTCTCATGTGTTTCGACCAGGATAGCACTGCCCAGCAGGGTCAGCCCTGAATGCCCGTTTTGTTACTCTGATTTCAGTCTCTGTTTGACTCGACTTCCTCTTAAGAGAACAGCTGACGTTTCTGTTCTCTCTCAGCGCTGACCTTGTTTTGCATTTTTTTTTTCCGTGCTTCCCAAGTCTTTCTCCTTCAACTTGTTAGAATCTTTTCTGTTGAGCCAAAAGGAGATAAATACCATGAGAACTTCTAACTGAAGACTATCGCATCATCTCAACTGCTGGTTTACTGGGGAAGTGTAGGTGGATTAGCAACGGAAGGTTAAGGGTTAAAAATCCTCCGCATGTTTTAGTCTTTTGTGAGGCTCTCCACTGCCCCATTCCGTTCTATGTCCCGTCTGTTTGTACCGGCTGCACTTCCAAGCCTTGTCCACCAGGTGGCTTCAGAGACCAAACATTTCATCCGCCACTTGCGGCGGCATCTATCAATGTTTGGAAGCAACGGATCGGGAAAGAATCCCTGACGCGGCGATAACGCAGGATGCTGTGGCGCCTTAATGTGGAAAATGTTACCAGCGTCCAAATGGTTTCGGGGACGCAGCGCAAACGCTCAGCTGGTCACGGCCTTTCCCGGACTTGCCTGCCAGCGCACCCTTTCCCCGCGACCGGATCACCTTGCGCCTCGCAAGTGTGCTTATAGGATGCCATTGATAAATACTTGGCTCGCACTTTGTTTCTTGTGCCTTATTCATGAATAATTAATCCCCATTCAAGCGGTCTGTCAGGGAGAATGCTTCACGGACCAGGTCGCTTTCTCAGATATCGGAGAGAGATCGTGAGAGTGTGTGCGCGCACACCTGCATAGGTATGAACTATGAAGTCATTGGAGGGGCCGTGAGAAAAGAAAATACCTTGAGAATCCCCCCCCCACCCACCCCCAAAGTCAGCCTCTTGGTGTTTTGGTGGAGACGACTCTCGGCAAAGTTAAATGGAGGTTTATATCACCCTGCCCCCCCCCCCACACCTCCTCCCGGACTAGCCGCTACTTGGCGCCCACATTCCCGGCGAGCCCCGCGCCCTTGTTGTGTAGGTTACCCACCTGGGGGGGGGGGGATGTTTTCTCCTTGTGTTGCAAGGGAATCATTCCATACTCTGACAGTTTTTCATTATTAATGGCCGTGTAAGAATTTTGCGGTTGCGTATTAATATTTAATCCGCAGCCGGCTACTCAGAGATGAGCGGATGGGGCATTTAATTGGAGCCTTTTGGAGTCCTGGAGCCTCGGAGTCCCGACTCGGGGCAAGTGGGACGAAGTATCCTGACTTCCCAGACTCTCGCTCCCATATCTGTGCGATTCTTATCTGCCCGCAGGACCGGGGGGCCTGGAGGGAAGGACAGAGCCGGGGGGGTTGTGTGTGTGTGTGTGTGTGTGTGTGTGAGAGAGAGAGGGAGAGAGCACACCCACCTCCCTGCTGTTGTGGTTTTGTAGCACTTTTGTCTGGAATACCCGGGGGCCGTTTCCTTTAAAGTCACTGTTTGGGCACCTCACACGAGATGGGACCAAAAGTCGGTGCGGGGCAGGGTGGTATGGCGCAGGGTGTGGGGGGGGGGGGGTATGTGGGGGGCTTATTAAAAGTGAATTTGCGAAGGTGAGGAGATATCTGGGAAAGGCAAGATGCTTTTAAAGCAGATTAAGATAAGGGCCATTAGGGGCGATGTCGCCGGGCTGTCTGTGTGAAGAGGCTGCGGGGCTGGCGCCGGGGGGGGGGGCGTATGCTCGGCGTGTGTCATATCAAAGTCAGAGTGTGTCACGGGGAGTGCCTGTCAGTTAACGCACCCCCTGCCCCCCCAGCCCACACTGACACAATTAGGAAGGCAGCATGCAGGCCAAGAGTGCCTTCAGTCTCACTGAGAGTCTGCGAAAGTGTGTGTGTGTGTGTGTGTCTGTCTGTCTGTCTGTCTGTCTGTCTGTCTGTCTGTCTGGGGGGTCGTGATCTAATGGGCCTCTCACTCTGTCAGAGCCTGCTGCAGTGTCCTTGTCCCCCTGTGTGCAGGTGTGAGAGGTGCCCAGATTCCTCTACATTTAGCACCCCCTCCCATAAGCTGGCAAACCAGATGGTCGGAGGGTCTGTACCCTCCATTCGAGTTTCCGTCTCTCCTGGTGTTCCCCCACATTCCTGTGCCGCGGGTTCTAGGTTCAGGAGCCCTGGTTTGTGGTTTATGCTGCCCCCACAGGTGTATTTAAAACGTTTAACACCGCCGATCACCCCCCCCCCCCACTGGCCCTTTCTCAGTCACTGGTGTGTTTCAGTGGCCAGCCGAGTGCCACTCTCCACTGGCACCGGGACGTTTGCCGGCTAAATAATTTACCGGCACTGCAAACATCTTCCACTGCCGTCACTGTGGCCCCCATGTTTCATTAATGCCTCCTGTTGCCAGCAGGCTTCCATTATTCAGTGCCCATTTGGACGGGGGGGGAGTAAGCAGCCCGATGCCATGAGGAGTGCAGGCAGTGGTGGAGGGGGGCAGGGGGACACGGAGGAACATGTGACTCCTGTGCAGAAACACTGGCGCGTTTGTTTCACTGTGCCCCCGTGACCTTGCTGAACTTCCATCCATTTTTTTTTCTTTTATCCAGAATAGAGTCGCAGTGAGCCTGGAGCCAAACCCGCGATAGCCAGGGTGTGAGGCGGGACACTGCGGGTGGCGGAATGGCGGCCCGCCTCGGGACGCACTCGCATTCGCTCACTGGTGACAGAAAGGGACAGTCAGGGACACTAACATCAAATACCTGTATGCTGTGGAAGAAAGATTACCAGCTGGATTAGATGGAGTAGCTGAGCTTAGGAGAAACACTGAAATGTTAACCAGGCATCTGTTTGATGCAGAGGCTTCTGGGAAAATCTGAATGTGGATGGAGGTTCATCTGCCCGTGACTCAGTACTTAATGCTGAGATCTGCTCTGTCTTTATTTCAGTGAAGCCCAGGCTGGTGTTCGCCCCCCCCCCGGCCACCGTCAGTATACCGCCGCTGGCCGCGCACGGTGCTATGTGCTTGTAAGCACACGTAGGTCGGTCTGTGGAGTTAAGCGGTGGTGGGGCCCCATTGTGACCCTTGTGTGAGAAGGGGCTGCCCCACGTCCTGCCCGACAGCTTCAGGCATGTGCACGGACACCCTGACTCGAACTCTCCCCGGCTCTAGGACCCACGGGCCACCTGAACGCATGTACTTGGTGTTCAAACACAGCATGGCAAGATAGCCTTGTGTGTGAGGTCATGGCGTGCTTCTGGCTGCTGGAGATCTAATGCGACAGCTGTGCGCCTTGCCAGCCTACGGGGTTTTTTATCCAGTTAATTGTGTGATTTGAGTGTAGTTAAACCGATTGTATGGGACATTTTCTTTTCCTGTTTTGTACTGAGGATTGACTCTTGAAATGTCTTATAGTAACAAGTAACAGATGTGTGTTAACAGTGAGCCAGTGAGAGTGGTGCTCTCGCTATCCCTTGATCGACACCAGTCTGATGAAATTAAAAAATGCTAAGTTTTAATGCCGCTGTTTATTAACTTGCCTTAACACTAAAGTGGATTCTGTCGGCAGCCTCTCTGGAAGAGTGTTTGATGGATCCCGTACGGGCTGCGTTCATCCTCTGCTCCCCCCTTTTTTGCTTAGGCCTTTGGATTGATATCAAAGTCCCATCAGACGTTTAATGTCTTACGAACTGGCCGTGGGGGCGGGAAGGTGTCGTGGGGGCTCTGGATTCCTCTCGGGTGGCACTGGGTCTGTTTCGGTGCCTTTAAACTGGACCGCGCTCCACCGTGAAGGGTATGGCAAACGCGAGTGTAATTAAACAGCCGCGCGGCGAGACAGGTGCAGGTCGCTGTTTACTCACCGTATCTGCCAGATAAAAGCACTGGGGGTCATTACTGCAGGAGCCAGAGCAGCCTGTGTCACCATCCTGCTCACCAAATCGCAGCACGGAGAGGCTGAACGGCGACCGCGGCAACAAGGAGCCTTTGTGCCGCCTCCGGCCTGCATGTTGCCAGCTCCTGCGGTTTTAATACCCGGTTATGCGCCGCTTCTTATCGGGTTACGCTCGGCTCGCCGCTGAAATTAATAACCCCACTGGCGTTGACGGCAAGCTCGGAGACGGAGGGGAGGTTTATCCAGCGGGCTGTATCCGCGGCAATGAGGAGCCAGGGCTCTCTGCTTCGTGTCTCTCATCGCACTCTGTTTCTGTTCAGTTCCATTTATTTGTTTTGTTCTTAAAATTGCATTTTCCGAAGCGTGACCTCCTTGGGCTCTGCAGTGGGCTTTGCGGCCAGTGAGTTTTCCCCCTCCCTCTGTAGCTTGTGAATGATTTAAACTCGCCGGTGTTGAATTGTGATGTCAGGACGGATGTTTCTCCGTGAGTCCTGCACGTTTGCGGGAGGGTGTTCAGCACGTGTGTGGTCTGTGCACATCTGTGGAGTGCGTTTTATAGACGTGATTCTCCCCGGCCTGGCGAGGCTCCCGCTGCCGTCACGGGGAGAGATTCACTGACATGTTTCATGACGGCTTCTGGACAGCTAGACAATAGCGAGACTTCTGGTCCAAAGTCATTGTGGAGCTTTCGATGTTATGGCCGCCACTTAGAACTGCTCCAACTGCAAGAGCAACTACTGCCTGACCCTGCGGCCGGGTTTGCGGACCAGTAGAAGTGTCCATCGATTGCGGAGCGTGGCTCATTGTAGGGTGGAATCCACGGTCAGGGCTCTGGGAGGGCCGGGGGCTTTTAGACTGATACTTTTCCCAGAAGGAGGCCTGACTCTTTACGTCCTTTACAGCCCAGCAAAAGCCATTTTATTATGAAGACTTTAATCAGGGGGGGGAGTTTCAGCAACAGTGGCAGTGACCACTAGAGCGTTTCCCTCACTTACGGCAGTCTGTGCCGCAGAAAGTTGGCCGGTCTGCATGGCACCTGTGTGTCAGCGGCCTTTGACCCTCAACGCTGGAGCAACCCATAGTTTGGTGGTGTAGTGTGATTTGTTATAGTGAGCTTTGTGTTTGATATAACAGTGCCAGGTTTGTTTTTAATGATGCCATACTGTGTGTGTGTGTGTGTGTGTGTGTGTGTGTGTACATGTGCGGCCACACAGATGCTGGACAAGCTACGAGAACGCTGGACCAACACAGGCCTTTGGCAGCAGATCGAGCTCCAGAAGACCGTCGTCACGGAGCCCAGAGGCGGCAGCAAGGGAGAATTTGATGAGCTCCTGCAGAGCTACTACGACGCCATCAAGCACCCTGGGGATAAAGGTGAGGCAGGGGGAGCTGGGGTCTTCGCCCTATGGCGTGGTGGCTACCGGACGGCCTGATTCTGCACTGATAGAGCGGTGGCACAGCCCCAGTGCATTGTGGGAGTGCAGCAACTGAGAAAGGGGCCCCTGTGCCGATTTGCAGACGGGGCGTTGCTGATCGCCGTCTGTCGGGGCAAGGTGAGCGAGGGTCTGGACTTCACCGACGACAACGCCCGGGCCGTGGTCACCATCGGGATCCCCTTCCCCAACATTAAGGACCTCCAGGTGAGGGGTAGTCGCTCATCACATTGACAGATGCTTACAGGATGTTTTCATTTGCGTCATTCTTGGGCTAGCAGGCTCCAGTCCATCATGGATGCCCTACTTTAGTTCCTGACCAGCAATAGGGTTGGGGTCTCTCCAGCCGTCAGCCCCCGTCATCTATTCTCTCCAGTTGGCATCCGGACCTAAACAGAACCGAAGAGCGAATAGCAAACCGTGCATGGTGAAACAAGTGGAAACGTCCCGGCGACACTGTGAGAATGAAATATGTTGGAACTTTTAGCAGTACAGAGTGGGTAAGGGGATGTGTGCATGCAGCCTGACTCTGTCAGCCTTGAAGGGAGGGGATAGTTCATTAGAATCTAGTTCTTTAAGGAATGCGCACACCGTGAATTTGAAGTGTCCTTGGCAGATAGCGCTGACCTTTTGCGTATCTTCCCCCCCCAACTGTACCTTGTTGGAGAAAAGCTGTCAGACTGGGTTGGTTTCTTAAGTAGGTCTGTCACCGTGGGGATGCGTGTGTGATTGACTCTCGCTTTTCACTGTAACCAACGCTGCTGGTGTGTCAGTACTATTACCTTGGGGATGAGGATGGGGATGGCGGGGGGGATGGGGATGGGGGGTGGACTTGGACTTTGGAGCAGAGCTTGGTGTGTGTTACCTTCCAAACGTCTAAGTGCTCCGAATAAGATGTGTGGGTGCCTTGTGGGGGGGTTGGGGTGTTGGGGCTGAGGTGCCTGGCGAGAGCTGCTCAGCTGTGGGGGCCCTCTGTGTCCCCCGTCGATACGCTGACAATATTTGTTTGCAGTCCCCAGATAATCTCTGGATGTCCTGCTGTTGTGAAATTGAAATATGGCAGATTTTTGCCTTGTGCATGATACCTGCTTCAGACTGGCTTGGTCCTGATTTATCAGTATGACATGAGAAGCTGTGGGGGGGGTGATACTGGATGGTGATGGCAGGAAGAGGAACAGAGGAGCTGTTTATTCCATGGGGAAGAGAGCAGAGGATAACCAGAAGGTAGCATCACCAGTCTGTGTGTTGGGTGCCTTTGGTCTCCAGGTCCAGGGGGAGGATCGGGTACGAGTTCAGCCAGGCTAAAGTGGGCGGGGCTCCAGTTCAGCCAGGCCAAAGTGGGCGGGGCTCCAGTTCAGCCAGGCCAAAGTGGGCGGGGCTCCATTCCCAGAGGGGTGTTAGGCTGCGAGAGAGGGGGGCCCTGCGCACGAACATGTGCATTGCTGCACTTGCAAAAACACATTCCTACACACACCTTGCTGAAGGCGTTCACAGGCACACGTCAGTGCACACACACACACACACACACACATGCACACACCTTGGCCCTTCTGCTTGTTTTCCCCTCCGGCTGTTAGAAGGAGTTTATGGAAACGACTGACCTGCCCTGAAAGGCAACGGCGGCTCTTTTTAGACTTCCGACAAAAAATGCAGACCTGCTTTTATATGCCCGTAATGGTGGCTGGGGTCAAAGTTCGGCTTTAAACGGGTTTGTGGGAAGAGATGCAGTGAGTCGGTGTCGGACACGGTCACTGCGGGAGCCAGCAGCTGGTTTTACAGCAGCCTTCGCCGGCAAGGGAGAGGAAGGCGCCTATTTCCGTCGTTTAGACAATGAAACTTTTTAAAGGGCAGTTAAAGGACACTTAGCCTGCATATTGCATCTCCTTTGGCCTCAGCCCACGCTGTAAATGCTCTTACTTTAATCCTCTGAAGTGAAATTCTGGTGTGGGTGGCTGGTATGCATTACCGTCAGTGCAGAAAGGAACACGAGCATATGTGTTTTGGTGTATCTGTGACTTTGTATGTACATTAGCCAGTATATTTCGTGTACGTTTGTGGGTCTGTGGTTTTAGATGACACTCGTACAGCAGATGGGTTTGAGCAAGATGATATGTACCGCGTCGCTGAGAGGGTACTTAGGGGAGTATTCTCGAGGTGTAGTAAAGCTGTGCACATCTGCTTTACGGAGCGTACACTGGCGAAGTGCACTTCTGCTTTACGGAGCGTACACTGGCGAAGTGCACTTCTGCTTTACGGAGCGTACACTGGCGAAGTGCACTTCTGCTTTACGGAGCTACATTAGAGAAGTGCACTTCTGCTTTACACTAGCGAAGTGCACTTCTACTTTACGGTGCGTACACTGGCGAAGTGCACTTCTGCTTTACGGAGCTACATTAGAGAAGTGCACTTCTGCTTTACACTAGCGAAGTGCACTTCTACTTTACGGTGCGTACACTAGAGAAGTGCGCTTCTGCTTTACGGAGCTACATTAGAGAAGTGCACTTCTGCTTTACGGAGCGTACACTAGCGAAGTGCACTTCTGATTTACGGAGCGTACACTAGCGAAGTGCACTTCTACTTTACGGAGNTTTACGGAGCGTACACTAGCGAAGTGCACTTCTACTTTACGGAGTGTACACTAGAGTATGTTCAGATGTGGAGGGCACCCTGCGTGCAGAGGCTGGAAGAATGAGCAGGTAAGAGTGTGGGGGGTGAGGGGGTGCAGAAGAGGCTCTCTTGACATTTTGAGTAATCCCTGCTGAGCCACACTGCTGTGGAGGCTCGCTTGCAGCGAGAACTGCCTTTTTCACATATGCGGCCTGTCATGTCAGATCAGGCGCCGATGTGGGAGCAGGAGAGCGAGAGGCTGATCCGCTATCCGAGCCAGACGTGGGTGATGTCAGAGCCCCCCCCAGGCTGCTGGCTCGAGCCCTCTCTCCGTCATCGAAATGGATTTATGTGGGTGGGGGCGGTGATCAGGCTGGTGTCTCTGGTGGCTGAGGTGACTGGCGGCTTGTGGACCGGTATTCCCTTCGTCTGGACTTCATTACCCTGTCGAGTAGAGCCCATTCTGCCTGGTTTGGCTTTACCTGCTTAGCATGAGCTAAACGCGTCAGTGCCATGTGCCCTAACATGACCCCGATGTAACCTCATGAACCCCAAGATCTTACGGGGGAATACGTGGCCTGTCAGAAGCAGGGGGGCCCACATATCTGGCGTGCGCCGGCATCCTAGGATCCAGGTACCTGTCAGAAGCGGTTTGGGGCCACAGCCCACCTGTGCCTGGGCCCGGGTTCATCAGCTGGGAGATGAACTTCTCACTTGTCAGTCGGGAAAGGTCAGGGCCGCAAAGGCGACGGGCCAAGCCTGATGGATGGTATAGGGGCCATTTCTATCCACAAGGTGACTACCACTGTCCCCCTAATGGTCCACAAATAGATCTTTCCGGAACAGCAGGTGAGTAAATCTCCCGGGCCCCTCCCCCTGCTTAGCACCCCATCAGTAACTACAACTGACCCATTCAGACGGCATCGTTGTGGCAGCTGAGTAGATGCGAGCTGATGTTAGAGGTGGGAGGGAGTGGGTGTGGAAAGGTCAGAAACCTTCGCTGCTCACGCATCAGAACAAAGCCGGTGTGATGGGCACCATCAGGTTCATCTTGGTGTGCAGCAAGGTGGCCCTGCTGTCATTTTCTATTTAAGTCGGGGGCCCCTCAGTCTGCTGGTCTGTTACACGAACTCCTCTAGGATCGTCCCCTCCCTTCACGCAGTTGCGTCAAGCGCATTCTCAGAATCGGGCCTTGTCCGGATATTTCCTCCCTTCACAGCATGGGGGGGACTCCCCCTGGAGCTCTCAGTGCCCTGGCCTGTCTTCTCCCTCCTTCCAGGTGGAGCTGAAGATGAAGTACAACGACCAGCACTGCCAGAGCCGTGGCCTCCTGTCTGGTCGCCGCTGGTACGAGATCCAGGCCTACCGTGCCCTCAACCAGGCCCTGGGCAGGTCGGTACCTCCTCCACCCCCACCCTACCTCCGCTGGGCCTTTCTGACCCACTTCATGCATTTCCCCCCCCCCCCCCTCCAACAGATGCATCCGACACAAGAATGACTGGGGGGCTCTCATCCTAGTGGATGATCGCTTCAAATGTAACCCCAACAAGTACATCACTGGTGAGGAACCCGCATGACAGGTGTAGCCTGTCACCTATTCTGTTTCCAGAACTGAAATACGAAGGCTGCATGTAGTTTTACATGTTAATCACTAGATGGTGCTAAAGGACTTTGTTCCTTTTGCTAAATGTAATGTTCCTTTTGCCAGATTTTTTTTCCCCCAAATCTTGTAATATCCCCCTAATTGCCTCTCCATCGAGAATCCATATTGTGATATATGTGCGAGTGAGTTGTGGTGCAGACTGACTAGGTCTGTTCCTCCACTCAGGCCTCTCAAAGTGGGTCCGGCAGCTGGTGCAGCATCACGACACCTTCAACGAGGCCATGCAGTCTCTGGTCAGTTTCTCCCAGAGCCAAAAGGGGGTGGCAGCGAGCCACGCAGCCCCCAGCGGGCCAGTGGGGCAGACGGAGCTGCCTCCCGGCCCCCTGTCCCCCTCTGGTGTCTCGTCTCCGCTCTGTATCGGACTCCCGCCCCCCTCTGCCTCAGACGGCTCCCCACTGCCCCTTCACCTGGGGGCCTCGTGTGCAGCTACAGTCTCAGAAACGGTCAAGGAACCCAATGGACCTCCAGGTATGAGGCAGCACCCATTACATCATCCGTTTGTCACGTGAAGAACAGAATGGGCAGCAGAACAACCCTCAGTAGCAGAAAGCTACCATTTCATTACTCATCTCTGGGATACACAGATATTTTATAGATTTTCTTACACACAACACAGACATTTCGTCTCTAATTCAGCGGCAGTAGAATCTGTTGGCCCCATGCCAGTGTTTTGTTAGTGCAGGGAGGGGTTCCTCATTATCGTGCCCTGACTCCCAGGGTTCCATGTCGTTGATTTGGGGAGGGATGGGCAGATGTTTGTTTTTTTTTGTACAAATCAAATCCCATTGACCTTTGTTTGGGCTAAAAGAGCCAAAGTGTGTTTGCTTTGCTCTCGGGGTAGAGAGGGAGGGGCGGTATCAGCAGAATCCCACCCCCCCCCCTTCCCTTCCAGGTCGTCTTCAGGGAAGCGCCAGTTTTTTCCACGTTTTGCATGTTTGTAATTCTGAAACTATTTGCTCCGTATAGTTGTTCTCTTCAGTTTTTGTTGAGGATCGCAGTGGTAGCTAACAGGCTGTAGTGACCAAGGCTTGCCTGAGGATCACCACGTGGCCCCCCTCCCTGGTCATTCTGCGGGGCTCCTGATGCTGTTTGTGTGTCCGTACAGATGATCAGAGGCCAGTGGGAAGCCAGCCACACCCGTCGTCAGACCCCCGGCCACGTGCGTGTGGAGAGCCCAGGCTTCCAGGCCGCCCGCTGCCCATACACCCCTTCTTTGCCTCCACACCGGTGTCCAGCCGGCTCAGGACACCCATCTTTCAGGCCACGACCTCTGGCCCTGGGGGCTGGCTAGGTGACGACCTGGGTACCCAGACCATGAGCGCCAGTAAGGAGCCCCCACGGGGATTGCGGAGTCCTCCCCATGCTGGTGGTGACACTGGGGGACAGGATGTGGGGCTGGTAGAACACCACTCCCCGGTGGTCACATCCATCTCTGATGCAACACTAGAACCTAGTGCAGTGACCCCCCCACTGGATGCGGAGGCTGAACAGGAGGATGAGGAGGACCTGAAGATCTTCTTCACCCCCGAGCTGTTTGATGCAGATGATGACAGTGGTGATGAAGAAGCAGCAGCAGCATCCCCAGCAAGTGCTGTATTTGCCACAGAACTCAACCCTGAAGATGAACCTCCTGCTGTAAACGGAGAACCTGGAAGCGCGTTGGAGACGCTGTCTGGGACTGACCAGGCTAATGGACTAACGGTCACTCCCTCTGACCGCCAGGAGGGCGGCGCTCACTCGCTGCCCCAGACAGCAGTGCAGACTGACCACATGTGTACCGACAGGGCAGTACAGGAGGCTGAGGACTGCAGGATATCAAGTATCACTCCTGAATGCCAGGAGGGCGGCGCTCACTCGCTCCCCCAAACAGTAATGCAGACTGACCGTATGTGTACAGACAGGGCAGAGCAGATGGTGAAGGGCCTGTGGCAGGGCAGTCAGAGCAGGGGCAGGACACACAGGCTTTCCAGGACTAGGCAGAAGGACAGGCTTTCAGCTACAGGTAACAGCCCCTCCCAGACAGCTTAAATCATACATCACAAGTCAGGTCATTTTGTTGGACCATTCTCATTTATCTGTTAAATACTGTAATGACACTTTTATAAATAAAAGTTTAAACATAATGATGTGGACTACTAATTAAAGCCTTTGCCCCCCCCCCCCCCACTGTGCGGGATCAATGTTGACGCCTGGGCCTGTAGGAGGGGGGTGGGTGAGATTAGAGTCATTCATCCGTGGGTTTTCACAGGCATCCTTCACGGTTAGAGACCAGCAGATTGTGGGCAGATCTTCCTCCTGAAGGATCTCTGTGAGTCGATGTTGTACAGTAGAGGCGCGCACTTTCACCATGCTCTGACGTGGGTTTCCACCCCCCGTTTGTATATCTTTTATTTCAGTGTGCAAATTCTCCCATCTTGCACTTATAAGTCCTATGGCATCCAGAATAAGGCCATGCGTGTTCCTCTTAATGGACCCCAATTTTCAGCTGAAGATCACATTAATCATTGCAAATATGCACCACAGGAGCGTGACATAACCGGGCCATTTGTGTGTTCTGATTTTTGTTAAATCATTTCAAATGAGGACCAAGATGGATGACCGGGGTGATCAGTTGGATTACCTGCCGTTTTAGCTTAACGAGTTTAGCCTCGTTAGGGGGCCAGTTAGCAGCTTAGTGTTGCGAGGGAATTCGGACTGTAATTTGTACTATGTTCATCTTCGTCAGATGAAGGTGCCTCCTACATTAAGGTAATTGGATGGTAAGATGAGGTCACTGTGAATATAAATGTGAGAAAACAAGCTTGAGGTGGAGGGGTTTAAAGAGCCCCCTCTTAATGGGGCTAACAGACTGTATAAAGTCACACTGTCTGGGCTCTCCTCCTGTCCTGATGCTTATTGTTCCATTAGCCTGCGTCTGTACGGCTATCTCAGCCCAGGCTAAGAGTGTTGAGGTACTTCTTATCGGTTTTTAGATCTTTTCCAGCCGACAGGTCCGTCTAGGGCTCTTTGGCTCCGTCCCGTTTAATGTTCTGAGAAGTGGTCTCGACGTGCTTTAACTGGCAGGTCGGGTTTCCCGGTCCAGGGAGGGAGGCAATGCCAGGCATGTCCCAGGACACGCTAAGGGAAGCCTGCTGTGGGACTGGCCGGTGCAGGCATGTCCGCGATCCCCCTTCAGGCTGCTGGACCGTCTGCGTGGCAACGCTCGACCCGGAGATGCAAACGGGGCAGCCACGGGAGCTCACCGGGGGGCGTCCGATGCTACGGAAGTGAAAGAGAGAGAGGAGACTGCTGGGCGGCACGGGGAGAGCGGGGCAGTCAGCTTGGGCACGCGGCTTGGGGTCGCAGAAGGTGTAGAGCAAGGTATGGGCGCTTGTAGCAGTCGGAACATCACCTTACGCCTGATGTTTGTCAGTGCCGCCCCATTGGGCAGTACTGACATGACAGCTCTGCCTCTTGCCAAAGCCTTGATGTCACATAGGTCAGGAATGTCAGACCCCGTTGCCTATCGACGCATGATCCGCTCAGTCCACATTGGAATGAGCCAAAGTGGACTCACCTGGAAGCTGGCTCTCTTCCATCTGTCATGTTGGGCTATATGCTTGTCACCCTCCCCCTGAACCCCAATGTTGACTGACAGTGAGCTGGTGGCCCGTGGGTCAGGGACTGGTACTGATTCATACTGACAGACCAGTCCCCACGGGGCAGAGCAGCTTCCAAAAATTAGCCCCTCACTTCAGCCTTCCTAACCATATTGGTGTGACTGGGCCTTGGTGTGCATGACCCCGTGACCCCATGACCCTGCTCCTCAGGCATCAGAGTGCGGCGTTCACACAGACGGAGGAGTAGGCGCATATCCGGAAAGGCCCGGAATCTCGTGGTGCCCCAGGCTTCCCAGCAAAAGCAGGTGATCGTCGGGGGGCAGGGGCATGGGTTAAGTGGACTGTTGAATAATACCAGGTCAGAATGCCATCCCCCTGTCTCTATGCAGATAACCCAGATCCCAGCCACCCATCTGCCCTTCATGAACTGAGTCCAATGCGACTGTGAGCTCCTACTGTCCAACGAAGGTCAGGCCACATTAAATCTGTCACCGGCAACACAAATATCTTTGAGTCTTTTGGCTTTGCCGGTGTTAAGAGCATAAAGAATCCAGAGAGGCTGTCAAAGGCCATATCTCAGTTCCTCTGTCCTCTGCATGGCTCTGTGTCTTTTGATTCTCAGCACCTATGTCATCTATGGTCTCTGGTGCTTCCAAGTGCACTGTTGAGGGCCATTGGTGCCGTAAAGGTGCACGCCGAGACGAGCAGGAACCTCTGCGGGCCCTGCAGCCAGCCGCCAGTGCTCCTGCGTGTCTGTGATGATCTCCCTGTCACGACAGCGGCACCGTGCTGGTCGGCCAAAGTATAGCAGCGCTCCCCGCTCTATGCCGGTCCTCGCAGGTGTACGCAAGCGGCGGCCAAGATTAAGGTTATGGCTCAAAGGCAGCAACAGGGAGGTTTGGTAAAGGGAAGTGAGTGTAGAGTTACCGCTGCTAAATCTGGCATTGTAATCCTTAAATGAGGCTATGAGCTCCTTTTGACTACAGCGTTACGGAGGAAAAATACGTCTGTGAGAAGATTCCAGCGTTTGACGGGCTCCGTGGGCGTCGGCCGAGTCGCCCTGAGAACAATGAAGGCCGAGGATTTTAGCTAGGCCACTTTGTTCGCGTAACGTGCTACTCACGTCGTCCGTCCTATTGGCCGTCTCCCGTTTCTCTCTCTCTCTCTTTTTTTTCTGCGGCTGTGCACTCTCTTCCCGCTCTCCCCCTAAAGTCGCGGCCAGGGAAAGTGATTTCGCTCTGCAACATTGACAAAAAAGCGCGCTAAACCAACACACTTTTTACAGGATTAGGGTGTTTGTTGTCGTGCCGCCGCCGCGTTGCCTCCGGCGGCTGTTGAGAGGTGCAGTCAGCGGCCTGCCGGGCTGCTCTTTGAAGCGGCCGGCCCGGTTTGGCGTTGCCTGTTGCGTGTGAAACACGGCTCTTCGTGCTACGTAAACTCTCCGTTGGTGGTTTTTTTTTTTTTTCTTTTTTCCTCCACTCCCTCTCTCATCCCAACCCCATTTTCCCTCCGCGACCACCACCAGCAGGCCTGCAGATAGGCCTGCACGTCCACAGCGTTTCCCGTGGACCCAGAACCGGATGCTGCAGTGTGGCTCTTGGCCTGAACCGGGACCTCAGCTGCTGTATTGTCTTGGGCGCCGAGGTTCTGCACCTTCAGGACCTGTCTGCCATCAAGGTGAAATGCCCCCC